TTTTTGGCTCAAAATCTGTGAATACTTTTCTGAAACACTACTTAACAACAGGACAATGTTATTGATGAAATAATAAAAGATTTGAAGTGCATGGCTTGATACCTGGATTTCTGATGGAAACTTCTTGAGTCATCAGCAGATACTGAAAATGGTTCAGTAAAGCACTTGCTGCTTCAGAAGCCCAATGGCAGCAGATATGCTGGGGTATGACAAAGTCTGGAAGATGACACCACTTACGTAAAGCCTATTTCTTGATCCCAAACAATGCAGTAAGTAAAATTGCTGTGACCACTTGCAGACAGACTAGCAGTAGTCGCCTTTCTTTCATCTTCCTTTGCTCCTGGGCTGTTGGATGATTCTAAGTAGGGGAGCTTTCGCCTTCCCTTGCTGTGCCCTCAGTGCACACAATTTCCTGAGGTATACTCTCACCTAAGCAATGTCCATGATGCATTCCACATCTCAAAAAGGGTGGCATGCTCAGGACACTGCTTTTTAAGTTCTGTCACTTAAGGGACTGAACACAGGTCCTTGGGCAACTAAGGACAAAACATATTTTTAAGTCTACTTTTTCATGAAAATTAATTTGAAAACATAAAATGGTTGTAGTAATCCAAGGCTGCTTTTTAAAAAAATCATAATTATGATTATTTTGAAAGTGGGGTAGACAGGAAATTCCAACTTGCCCTAGAAATGAATTTTGTTGTCTAAAGTGACCTAAATTCTTTACTACTTCTAGAATTTAGAAATTGAGGCAAGAAAATCAAAACACAAGTTTTTCATTCCTAATTCAAGATTAAATTTTTTTTACTATAAATACACATAAGATAATTTTCATATATGGCCTGGGAGTTCATCCCCAAAAAAAGTCTGCTTCAAACACGTTTACTCTAGACGGCACATACTAAACATGGACCCTCATTAGCTTCATGGGCTTTTGTAGCCAGTAAAGCAGTTGCAAACATAAGTACATGGCAAAAGCTAGTAAAGGAGAGTGAATCGCTAGTAAGGCATACAAAACATATATAACTGATTTTGCAGGAAGCTAAAAATGATCTCCAAGGTCAACTTGTCTTATAGTGGCTCAGACTCAAATCAATTCTCCCAAACTCAAGAGATGCAGTACATGATGTTTAATTTCTTCAGTATACATTGTTTCCTTAGCTTTAAAAAAGACCACAAAAGCAAAAACACAAGAGGTTCTTTCAGTGTAGTATCAAGCAGATATATTGTTAGCAAACATTGTTTATTAAGAATTCACAGTAACTGCTTGCAGTTTGCAGGCCAAGGATTCATGGTAACAAAAACTGTAGAATAACTCCGCATTACACAAAAAAGGGGGAAATAGAATCATCTGAAAAAACTTACAGAATTAATTTCAAATCAGAATGATTGACAAGCTTAACACAGAACATCTGCACTGCTGTTTAGAATGGCTTGGCTTTTAAAAAAGTTACAGCCAGCAAAAGCAGGGAGAGCAAGAAACACCTCAAGGGCACTGGGCTAGGAGTTCTGAGACATGGGGCCTCAGTTGGCCTTTTTGGGCTTCAGTCTTCTCTTTAACAAAGTTGAAGATGTGTGGCATCTGTCATAGGGCTGATTTGGCTGATTTGGTGGGTGTCCTCTTCCTCCCTGACAGCTCCATGTGCTTCCCGAAACTGTGTGCTTGGTTGAAGAGGACCTTCCCTGATAGAGGAGGACTGGTCTTCAACGAGTAGATGTACTCACCCGCTAGAATCTCCACTAAGCTCTCAAGGTTCATTAAAGCTGGACCAGATAATCTCCTTTGGATCTTTAAAAACACCAAAACCCAAAGTTCTTCCTAGGTCTGATCAGTGTGATTCAGGTGTATTGTTTTTAGTGCTTGCAATAAAGTAACATGAACAAAAGAGCAGACACCACTCTACAATGGATTCACAACCAGGCTTTTCCCATCCTGTTTCATCAGTTGATATCCTCCTGAAATAAGGAAGTACCCTCTCAGCAGACAGTAACAGAACTATAAAAGTGTTCATTGGCACACATTTAGGAGGCTCTTTTAATGCCTAATAATTATATGAAACATAACAAAGGCATAGACCTGTTAAGTCAAAATTAAAGGAGATTTTTATTTTTGTGATATGAAATGTGAAATCCCTTTTCTTTTTGTTAAACCTTACAATGAATGTTACCCCTCACACAAAAGGAATACTGCTCTCTTTTTTCTTATATCCTTGAGATGTTGGGAAGAGATTTCCAGCAAGTTGTGGCTACCTGGAATTGATATCTTGTGTTAAACTCGGGATGGAAGGTAACAGTGACAATATCATACAGTTGTACTTCATACTGTTCCTCAAGTGAACACATTCCCCCTTTCAGATAAGCATTTCCTATTAGGAGATATATTTAACATTGGGGTACTCTGTAGGGTATAGTAAGTTTACAAGATGGCTAAATTTCATTGCTAAAATTTATGACTTTCACTTTAGTAAATAATTTGTCAGTTTTCTCACTGACCTGAAAGAGTAAAGATTACATATACAACATTAGCATTGATCTGTTAATAATACCTAAATTTTATTAGTCCATTCTCTTCTTTCTGAATACAGAGAGAAAGTGTCTGAGAAATTAGATCAACAAAGACATGGAATATGTCAGACCAAGCTGTTGATCAAATGATCAACAGCTCTTTAGTTCTATCCCTGCGAATAGACTCATCACAAGTCAATGCACCTAGACTACCCTAAGTTAAGATCCCTTGGTTAAAATGTATCATTAGAAACTCTTCCACATTTTGTACCTTTTTTAAATTCTGAGGAAATGTCCTAAAGACCCATGAATCTTAGAGAAAATGAGCCTTTTTGGGTAAGTTTTTTGTTTTCTACTGTAAAAAGGAAAATCTCTTTCATTTTAGCAGGCAGAAAATTTAGAACCAAATTACTGTCCAATATATATTACTGAACTACATGAAATCATGTATTTCTGTGCTGTTCTCATGCTTAATTTCTTAAAAGACTATTTTGTAGGCCTCTCTATGCACTTTTAAAATAGGACAAAAATTTCAAAACTGAAAATATAGTTATAAGCAATTATTGATAATGTAATTAAGCACACTGTATTATTTTCTACTATAATCTAGAGGTTATATAATGGATATAATGCCATCTGGAAGTATGTTAATTTCCCTTCATCATTATAATTGGTAATATATTATTTACAATGCTGTTCAAATGTTGGCTGGCCTAACTTACCCATTCAATGACTATTCAATTTAGCTACTGAAAGAACTGTTATTCAATCTGCCTCTGGTATTAGTCCCTTGAGTATTAATGAAGTCTTTTTAACACTTTCAAATTACATTTTTAAAACAGGAAATTTCATGGTGACTTGAAAAAACTAAATCACGGATATACTATATGTAGATTTTCCTATCTCCTGTACACAATCTACTTCTTAAATAATAAAAAAATGTGATATAGGAAACAAACTTTGAGGCAGTATTCTGTAAGTGTGTCATATTTAGGGTCACAGTTTTCACTAAACTGAGAGAACATATTTATGTAATGTTTAAAAGAACTAATGAATTGAGTGTGGTGGCACATACCTGTAATCCCAGATACATGGGAGGCTGAGGCAGGAGAATCCTAAGTTCAAAATCAGCCTGGGCTACATAGGGTGACACTGTCTCCAAACAAAAAAGCCAAATGAAAAGCTCCAAAAAACATCTAAAATAAATAATGAAATTCAATGAAAACTTCAATTTTTCATTTCACATAGTATTTTCTACAAAAATAGTAGAAAATGAGAATTTCCCTCTTCTAAGTGGCATGTCTATATTAAATACAACTCAGTAAACAGATTCCTTTCCATACATGTGTTAAGATCTCAAATCTCAGTGCCACAAGTAACATGATTGAAGAATCACGTAACTATGTACAGTTTAATGTAAGACTTGTGCAGTGATTTAGGGCAATAAATATCACACAGTGAAAAGTTTCTCACAAACCAAATACGGTAACAGAAGGAAGGTGTTTGCAGACATTATCAAGGTCGTCATAATAAATTATAGCACACAGTCCCATTATGGCATGCTTGTACACAGTGCTGCTAATGTGAGCACTCAAAGAAATCTGTCTTGCAGGTTTTTAATCTTGATTTAATAAAGTTTGCACAGTATCAAATAATATCAAAAGTCTAAAAAAACAATGAATTTATATATCATGTTTATAAATTATTGTTGTATAGACCATAAAAAATCATAAGGTCAAAAGTGCAGTTTAAAAAAAAGTTGAAATTGTTATTCTTGATAAGAGCTAGAAAAACGTATTTTCCCAAGAAAAGCAATCTAAAGGCTTGCAGTTTTCTTAGGGAATTTCTCTTTAACTTTCATAAACCTTGGTTACCATGCAGCAAAGATAAGCCAATACAAAAGGAGTGAAAACAATAGAAACACAGAGATGAGAACTGGAAATAAACATAGTTGTATGTTTCAGTGACCCTGGTCACTGGAATGAATGGCTGCCACTGGATGTGACCAAATACATGAAATTTGCAAGGCCTGCTATGAGTTTTTATCTTTCTCAAATACTTAGTTATGACTGGCAATTGGTGCATAAAACCCAGGCTTATAAAACTTTCTTGTATAATTGAGACAAAATATGACTTAAGGGTGATAAATCCTATCATCTACTACTTCTCACAGAAAACAAGGACTAAAGATCCAGTAATTAAAATGCAGTAGTACAGAAAGTAGTCAACAAGAAATGAAATATAACACTGAATCTTAATTGGCACTTATCATAGTAACTAGCTGTATTTAGACAAATTTAAGAAAAATGCCTATGTTGAAGTATGTGGTACATTAACCACATAGACTTATGTTGGAGACAGACATGGCAAAACTGTAGGGTACAAAACAACTTAAATTTAGAAAAAAAAAGAGTGAAATATAAAGAAAAATCTTACTTAAGTTTACTGTGGGACTGAAGTACTGACAGAGTTGTATCAGTAAAGGACTGAGCCTAAGTCTGGCTTGACACAACAGCTCCCTCCTCAGCTGCTGTTTAGCTGGTAGTACCTTGTTTATGACACCAAGTAACAGATGATGATTATTTTTTCCACTGAATATATTAAGTTCCTTGTTGGTTTAACACATATAGACTGCCTGAGATAATAAAAAGTCACCAATACAATAGGTTAATAGCAAATGAAGGTCTTCCTAGTTTTGACAGGAGAGCATAATTGGCTGCTGAGACAGAATGGGTGCTCTGTAGGCTGCATACACACATATTTACTCATTAGCCACTGTTAGTAGAAGATTAAAAGTCTATGGATATGGATGCTTGTGCAGAATCCTCTCTCCCTCTGACATAAATTTCACAGGGAATCTCTTCCATGACTCTGTCTTCTAGGGCCTGTTCAGGACACTCATGTGCCTGTTTGAAAGTGTAGCTACTTTTTTTGAAGGTGCTATTAAATGTCTTCATTGGCTGTGGCTGTGCAAAATCATTTCGGAAGGGAAGTTCCATGGAACTGAGGTTGGTCCTGCTCTGTTTGGCACTGGATGCTTGAGACCCACAGTGATGGTCATGGATGCACCGGGAGGCTGTTGGGGAGCGCCGCAACTTCTGGTAGTTGTCCAGTTCTTCTGACAAGTCTGCCAGGTCTGCAGAAATTTCTTTGTCCCGTAGTGAAAATAGCTCATAATGAGGAGGATCAAACACTTCTTGGAACCCAGTTTTATTAAAAGCAGTTTTGCAAGCCATGACCTTTTTTCGGGGTTGTTTCACTTGTACTAAAATAGAAATAATGAGAAGAACCAAGACAATCCCTGATGTAATGCCAATGATTGTTCCATGAGTTTTAGTGATTTGTTCAAATAATCCGGCTTTTTTCTTTTCTGTAGAAAGAGAAAATGTTGAGGTTTTCAGAATTCACTAATAGGAGATCCAGCACAAATCCATAAGATATTTTTAGGGTAAACCAGAAAATGTGGGTCAAATAAATCACAGACAATGCAATTGAAAATAAGATTTTTAAACAAATTCAACAATACTATTACTATGATTTCTGGGTAAAGTAATCACAATATAGCTAGACAGATTTCAGAAAAGGTAACGTATTTGGTTTCCTTACTCAAAAGGTACACATACAGAAAATGCTGAAGGAAATGCTCTTGGCCTATCAGGTTTAGCCTTCTACTGCACGGTAGGTTTGCTGGTCGGTAAACTGCCAAACAAAGTTTCTACTCATGGCCACCAGGAAGAGAATAAAATGATCAGACTAACTCTCTCAGGTATGCTATCATGGTCTACTGTTTCTGAATGATTACCTGAAAATATTATGTCAAGTACTTAATACAGTCATTAGATTATAACAATTCTTCACAGTAAGACACTATTCAACTCTTGGGAGGATGAAAGCTACATACACTAACCAACTTGGATATCTAACCAACTTGTAGATATCCAATTATTCTCACAGCCATATTTATCTTTCAGAGTATACACTGGAAATATAGCATAGGAAATTTGATGAAATAAAAAGGCAATTCTTGGAATGTCTGCTTTTATGTTATAAGACTGAATCTTTTAGTTTATTTTTTAATTAAATAGTATTCCCATATAATTTTATTATTTATTTATTTTTGTAGTACTGGGCCTTAAACTCAGGGCCTTCACTTTGAGTCACTCCACCAGCCCTATTTTTGTTAAGGGTGTTTTGAGATAGGGTCTTGCGAACTATTTGCCTGGGCTGGCTTCGAACTGGGATCCTCCTAATGTTTGCCTGCCAAGTAGCTAGGATTATTGGCATAAGCCACTGGCACCGGCTTCCATATAATTTTAAAAAGAAAAATATTCTAGGCTATCCCCTGAATAATTTTGACAACTAGATAAGGTATTTTTATAATACAAATGATGTTTCAATAACAATAAGAAAATAAGAACAGGAAATACCATGATGCACTTTTGAACTTAAGATAAAAAACATACATAAACAAAAAAAATTGCTTTTGTTGAGAGTATTTTTCTTTGCTTGTTCTACATCCCAGAGGTCTATTATCCATTTTAAAAACCATTTGTCATATGTCTTCATTTCTGCTAAAGCAGCTATGCTAAACACAGTTGTAAAAAAAGGATATCTTAAGCCTTTCTTAATGAAAGGCAAGAGCCACTCTGCTCAAAAAGGTGACCTCACTGGACTCACCTTTACAGTGATTTTCATCCCAAGGGTATGCACAGTTCTGAACTCCATTACAGACTAAAGAATTGTTGATGCACATGTTGCTGTGGCAAAAGAAAGTGCTGCTTGTGCAGGGAGCTGTTGGGAAATAGAAAGATGTTGCTGAAAACAGAGACATACAGATTACAAACTCAACTTAAGAATTTAACTTTTTACAGGAGTAATTTCTTACCTCAAAGGTCTTTCCACGAACACACTATTGTTGACAAATATTGTCAATAATATTGACAAAGGTCAATATTCTCTGATGTTAGCTCATATAACTTTTTCTAATGTTGGGGACTAAAAGGTCATTTTCAATATAATGACAATATGAATGCATTTCCCATAGTTCTTATGAAACTTCTATATAGTTTGGTCAATTTTTCAAAATTTTAACTTTAAAGACAATGTTGACAAGGATGTAGTGACGTTGGAATCTTTGTGTTTTGGTGTGAATGAAAAATGGTGCATCCACTGTGGAAAACTGTCGGGTGGGACCTCAAAAAGTTTATATATATATATTCTCCTAAATCTGATGATCCAGCAAAGTATTGAAAGTACCACCTCAAACAGATCCTACATGCCAGTGTTCACAGCAGTGTTATTTACAAAAGCCAACAGACAGAAACAAGCCAAACGTTCATCAAAGGTAGAATGGACAAACAAAACATATTACATATAAGGCAATGGAATACTATTCAGTCATAAAGGGAAATAGAATTCCGTTACAAACTACAACATGGCTGAAGCTTCTTGAAAACATGCTAAGTAAAATAAGCCAAATATTTCACTTAGTGTAATTATTGTAGGATTATGTATTCACTACTGTATGACAGATATAAATGATTCTACTTATATGAGGTAGAAAACACTTGTAGAATTTGGACAGAGGCCACCAGGGGCTGGGGGAAAAGGGATAGGAAGTTAGTATTTAATGAGAACAGACTTTCAGTTTGAGATGATGAAAAAGTTCAGGAGGCAGACAGTGGTGATAATACTACAACCACGTGAATATACTTAATACAAGTGAACTATATAAAAATGGTAAATTTGAGGGCTAGGTGTGTAGCTCAATGGTAGAGAACTACTTAGCATATGTGAGGCCTTGGGTTTGATCCCCGACACTAAAAAAAAAAAAAAAAAAAAAGGACATTAAAGTTCTGAGAATTTTACCATGGTAAAAAAAGGGAAAGAAAAATCTACTCTTTTAAGTTAAAAATGTGTTTTCTTTTAAAAAAGAAAGTCTATAAAGGTATATAGCATGGACCATATAATTTTACATTTTGTATAAATTGTGCTTTTAGCCTGGAATAATGCCTCCTTCCCTTTGTGGTGACCACTCATCTTTCAAAATAATTTCAGATGTCAGGATGTGGAAAGTCTCCTTCCTTCTCCTAGGTGGCTAGTACCTCCTGTGTGTTTCTGCCATCCTCCATGTTCTCCTCTATTTGGTACTTCTCCTTGTATAGGTAAACATTTTCACAGTGGGCTGTAATTCAGTGTGCTTGTTTCTGATATGGAATAAAGCTCTAGACTGAAGACAAAAATCTAACATGGTAGTATAAAGCATTTCAGTGTAGAGACACACAAAGAAAATCTGAAAATCAGTAAGTAAGGCAGCTTAATACTCCCCTCCCCATTAAGTAAGATTGCAGAAGTATGATAGAAGCCCCCAAAAAGTCAACTAACCATTTTGGCTTCTAAAATTTTTTTTTTTTTTTGTGGTACTGGGGCTTGAACTCCGGGCCTACACCTTGAGCCACTCCACCAGCCCTTTTTGTATTTAGGTATTTTTGAGATAGGGTCTTGCAAACTATTAGTCCGGACTGGCTTTGAACCGTGATCCTTCTAATCTCTGCCTCCTGAGTAGCTAGGATTATAGGTGTGAGACACCTGTGCCTGGCTTGGCTTCTAAAATTATAATTGGACAGAATGCTTTTCCTGCCTAAAAGTCTGTATTTTGGATTTTCAGAAAATATATGTTTTATCAAGGAAGGAGAAATGAATATTGTTCTATATTATTCTGACATGCTCAAATATTTTTTACAGACATATTTAAAGGTTTTTTTAATTTGAAAGAAGTATCTAAAATTTTACTGGACTAATAATTAAGTGGGTTGTCCTTTTAATGTGGTTGTAGGTAATAAAACTGGCATTTTGGTATTCACCTGCCATACTTTTGTCTCTTTCCCAACTAACTCTGAATATGGGCTGGAAAAACAAGAATTTATTGGGTCCTCAGAAAACCCCAAATGTAATCTGATAAGTATAAGTCAACAGAGAATATTCAAAATTGCTTTACTGTTAGAGTGTAAACATATCTCTCCTTAAGGCAGAATCCCCTATGATGCATTATTTCCCAAGTTCTATAGCAGCAGGTTATCAACTGATAGTGAGTCATGAACTAGGATTTGTTTATTCCTTCTCCCTCCTCACTAGAAGCTACCTTGAGTTTAGGCATGACTTCTGTATCTACACATGATTAAACAGTCTTCATACTAAACTTTTATGCTTATTTGCTAAGTAACAAATCACTACAGTTCAACTATAATAACCCTGAGGTGACTTGCATGACTGTAGTCTAAAATAGCTAAAGACTGAACATTTTAGGAGACAGTGATGTGAAGCAGGAAGTGGAAAAAAATGAACCTGTATCAATACACATTGTTTCTGTCATCGGTCTGTGAAACTTTAAATATTTAACCTCCCTGCACTTCAGTGTCCTCTTTTTCCCTCCATAGTAGTACTGGGGTTTGAACTTAGAGCTTCAAGCTTATTAGGCTGGTGCTTTGCTTGAGCCACGCCTCCAGCCCTACAGTTTCCCCTTTTAAAATGAATGGGATGGAATACAGGGTCATCTCAGACTCCAGTTCTAAGATTTGATGAGGCAATGAAATCAGTGGTCAAAGTCATATGGATCCTTTTGTTCTTAATCTAAGAGCAAAAAAGTATATAATAAATAATTTGCTCAAATACTGTTAACTTGTCAAAATGGTATCACTGAAACTAGTAAAACAGGAATTTCATGATTCTTAGAAGATGCTTGATGCTCTCAAGGCTCATCACAAGGATAACAGATATTAGTTGCATAATTAAGCCAGTAGATTAAGGACAGGAAAGCCAAAGAAGAGGTATAGTGGTATTTGTTTATTTTGTAAAATTTGCTAGTCTACCTACTTCAGTTGTGTCAGATCATAAAACTATATTATATTGAAAGCATAATTGAAACCCACCAAACACTGACTAAAGGTAGAGGGTAGAGGTGGAGTGGGAGTATAATGGAGGGGATGAACTTGTTCAAAGTACACTGTACACACGTATGAAATTATTCCAATGAAATCTCCTTGCATTATTCATGTATGGTAAATAAAAAATAAAAGAACTATATTATACAAATGAGTCTACTTTAAAAACGTAACACATAGCAATTTCCACAAAGTGTAGTTTTCTGTTTTTGTTTATATGTCATACTGCAACTCTATTATATATGAGGTATAGTAATATAAATACATATATAAAAATACATAATAATTATTATTATTTTATTGCTTTTTGCAGTACTGGGGATTGAACTCAGGGCCTCGTGCATGCTAAGGCCAAGGCTCTACCACTTGAGCCATACACCCAGCTCTTTTGGGTTTTATGTTTGTTTTTGAGACAGGGATTCACTAACTTTGCCTAGGCTGGCCTCAAACTCACAATTTTCCTGCCTCCTGAGCAGCTAGGTATTATATTCTAACTCCACTACTTTATTTTATCTAGTTCACAATTAGGGGTGAAATAGGTAAGCCATTTTTAAAGCAAGGTGAATGAGGTTAGAAACAGTACTGTGCTCCCTGGCATTCTGACCTCCTGCCAACATTCTGTGGTCACACTTTGATGATTCCTTATAACCGAAAAGGTGGCCTACAACATGGGACTTCTGCTCCATGCGCTTCATCAATTGAACACTGAGAGGAATATATCCTTAGTTTTTATTATAGATTCTTTAGAACTGTTCTTTATATTATTTAAAACAATTAGAAAATAGCATTGATAGATTTTGCTTTGCAGAAATGTTTTATTTATAATTATAAATATATTAACTTATTGCTTCGCATTGGACCAGCACAGCTGTATAAAATAAAAAAAAATAAGGCACAGATTTGATATGGAATGCTAATGAACTGCTTCAGTTCAAAACCGTATTAAAATGGCTGAGCTGTAAATCTTTCTGAGCGAGAGACAAATAATAAAAGTAGTGCCAGTTATGAACTGTCTTCTACTGATAGCTTGAGGACTCCACGTCTGGCTTTCACTCACAGCTGGGTTGTACAAAGGAGGATTAGGATTTTAGCTGTACTCTACTTTTGATGATGCTGAAAGATGGTTGAGCCTGCAGGGGATCTGTGGGCAATACATCACCGAAAATCACATACGGATTTACTCTAACAAAAACATTTCTGCTTTTATTGTTCTAGTCCTACAAATTGTTTTACTACAACTATATCCTTTCTTAAAGAGTGATGTATATATCAGTACTCAGTGCCTGTGAAGAAGTTAAACATATTTTGATTGCTATTTTATATCATCTGTTTTAGTCACAACTCCAATCTGCAATGGTTAACCATGAGGCCAATCTCTCAGGCAGAATTATCCCATTTAAAGAAACTTTTTAAATATTGTTTTCATGGATGAATTCATATCAGTTATGAATGAACATCTTAGAGAAGAAAAAACTTCAACAATCTGAATTAATCTATTATCTTGAGCTCTGAAATATGCTTATTAAATGGAGATTTTTAAACTGGAGTTTGTTTTATGAAATTCTGTGAAATCCTTTTTTGGAGAGGCAGATTTCTTTTGGGGCAATAAAGGTAAATTGGGATATGGAGCTGTATCTACTACAGCTTTAGTTAATACAAAGATATCACTTGAGGGAGACTTTCCCCTGTTTAATGATCAGATTTGTACTAGTGGGGAAATCATCAATGTATGTGTAGAAAATATTAACACTACAGCACATTAGAAAAGAATTTCTCATCCAACATTTAGATTAGTGTTGCCCAAAATATGATGTGATCCAAAAATGTGGGCAAGTAGCCACACTAAGAAGT